CAGTATTTGTCTGAAATGGTATAGGGCAGTGATGGTGAACCTTTTAGAGACCGAGTGCCCAAACTGCAACCCAAAACCCACTTATGTATCATCGGGTGCCGGGTGGGCGTGGCCCATTGGGTGGGCATGGCTGTGGTGGTAATGGCAGACTGGGTGGGACTAAAAAGTTCGATCAATCAATTCCAACTTTGCGAGATCTTTCCCCCCCCCCGCGAGAAGTTGAAATTGATTGATTGAACCCCTTTTTTTTTTGCATACAGCTGCGGAGGCCTAAAGTGAAAAGGTTTTATAAAACTCAGCTGAAGGCCTAGAACTGGGGTGACAGCATACGTGCCCACAGAGAGGGCTCTGAGTGCCACTTGTGGCACGCGTGCCATAGGTTCGCCACCACGGGTATAGGGTTTCCTGCCTGAGCAGGGGGTTGGACTTGGTGACCTCCAAGGTCTCTTCCAACATTATTATTATTATCGATCATCGCACAGTCAGCCAGATGTTCAGACTGGATTTGGCATTTTGTCTACCTATCGAGTCCTTACCCAGGACCTGGGATAGGCAGATGTGGATGTTTGATGGTATTACAGGTATCGTCGCAGGATGGAAGCAGTTCCTAATAAGGCCGCCTTTTGCAATTGACTAATAGCGAATTTGTCAATGCCAATGGTGTTCAAGTGGTGCTCCAGTTGTTTTGGGATTGCACCCAAGGAGCCTATGACTATTGGTACTACCCTTGCTTGCTTTTGCCACAGTCTTTCTATTTCTATTTGTAGGTCTTTGTATTTTGTTATCTTCTCCAGTTCTTTCTCTTCTATTCTGCTGTCTCCAGGCACTGCCACGTCCACTATCCAGACTTTTTTGTCTTTCTTATCAACAATTGTTAAGTCTGGGGTGTTATGTTGCAGGTGCTTGTCTGTTTGAATTCTGAAGTCCCAGAGCAGTTTAATTTTATCATTTTTCTATGACTTTCTCTATTTTATGATCCCACCAGTTTTTGCTTACAGGCAAATGATATTTTTTGCAGATCTTCCAATGCACCATTGTTGCTACTTTGTCATGTCGCTGCTTGTAATCAGTCTGTGCAATCTTCTTGCAACAGCTTACCAAGTGGTCCACTGTTTCTTCAGCTTCTTTGCATAGGCGGCACTTACTGTCTGTTGCTGTCTTCTCAATTTGACTTTGTATGCATTTGTCCTTAAGGCTTGGTCTTGTGCAGCCAGAATTAATCCCTCGGTCTCTTTCTTCAATTTTCCTGCTCTTAGCCATTGCCAGGTTTTATTATTATCTGCTTTCCCAGCTATTTTTTTCATGTATTGGCCATGTAGTGCTTTGTCTTCCCATGCCTCTATTCTGTTCTTCATTTGGTCTTTCTTGTAGGCCAGTTTGGTCTCTCCAGTAGTTAGTAAGCCTTCCTGATATACTAATTTCAGTGCATCTTCATCATTGTTCTTCAGATATTCTTCCAAAGCCATTTTTTCTTCTTCAACCATCTGATGTACTTGTAGCATTCCACGCCCACCTATTTGCCTTGGTAGATAAAGTCTATCAATGTCACTGCGTGGATGAAGGGCGTGATTCATTGTCATTATTTTTCTGGTCTGCCTATCCATTGCTTTTAGTTCTGCTTGAGTCCAGTCCACTATTCCAGCTGTGTACCTAATGACTGGGATTGCCCAGGTGTTGATTGCCTTTATGGTATTTCCTCCATTGAGTTTGGATTTTAAGATCTTCTTCACTCTCTTGATGTATTCACCTCTAATCTTTTTCTTGACTTCAGTGTGCTTGATGTTGTCAGCTTGAAGGATACCCAAGTAAGTATTTGTAGTACTCTTCCTCATCCAGACTCTTAATGTTATTTTCGTGGGGCATCTTGATTCCTTCAGTTTTCACTACTTTTCCTTGTTTGATAGTAAGTGTGGCACATTTGTCCAAGCCAAACTCCATAACAATATCTTGGCTATATATACGGACAGTGTTGAGCAGCGATTCTATTTCAGATGATGTTTTTCCATACAGCTTCAGATCATCCATATAAAGGAGGTGGGATAGTCTGGCAGATGTTTTTGATGTTTGATAGCCATGTCCTGAGTTATTCAGTATTGTTGACAGAGGAAACAGTGCAATAACAAATAGTAATGGTGATAATGAATCTCCTTGAAATATTCCTCTCTTGATATTAACCTCTCCCAGCTTTCTCACCATTGATCTGCAACTGTGTCTTCCATTGTGCCATCGATTTTTGCACAAATTTTCTGATGTTTCTACTTACTCCTGTTATTTCTAGGCACTTGATTATCCAATCATGTGGCAGAGAGTCAAATGCCTTTTTGTAGTCAATCCATGCCACATTCAGGTTGGTCTTCCTTCTCTTGCAGTTTTCCAAGATCATTTTGTCTATTAGGAGTTGATCTTTTGTTCCTCTGCTATTGGGGCGGTTTCCTTTCTGCTCAGGTGGAAAGAGATTGTTTTCAACTAGATGCTGTTGTACTGCATCAGCTACCACACCAGTTAGTAATTTGAAAGTTGTTGGTAAGCAGGTAATTGGCCTGTAGTTACCTGGTGTTGCCCCTCTTGCTGGATTTTTCATTATTAGGTAGGTTTTCCCAGTTGTTAGCCACTTTTCAATTTCTCCTCCTTGTAGTATATTGTTGAATTGCTTGGCAATGAGTGGGTGTATAACAGTTAGATGTTTCAACCAAAACCCATGCAGTTCATCTTCACCTGGTGCTGACCAATTTTTGATTTTCTTTGCTCTTTTTTCTACCATTTTTGTTGTTATTACTAGTTCTTTCATTTCAACTTCTGTTTTATTTGCATCCACTTCTTTTAACCAAGCTGCATCCTTGTTGTATTTCTTTGGGTTATCCCATACCTGCTTCCAGAATTGCACTGTTTCTTCCTTGTCAGGTACTGACTGATTCCTTGCAGTTTCTCCATTGATGGATTGGTAGAACGTTTCTGATTGGATTGAAATTGGAGGTTCTGCCTATAGTTGCAATTCGAGCTTCATATCTACTGATTTTCCTGGCTATAGCTGTTATTTGTTGCTTTATTATTTCCAGTGCTTCCTTGATCTTCCTTGTTTCTAAGTGGTATTTCTTGATTAGGTATTCTTTGGTCTTCTTGTTCTTCAGCTTCTTTTCTTTCATCTGTTCTAGCTTGCTTGCATGTGATCTTAACTTGCTGATCTTATTTTCTAGTCTAACCTTCCATTTTTGTGGTGCACTGTTTGTTTGTTTTTCTTTTTGTTGATTTTACATCCCAGGTATTCTGTTATAACTGCAGCTGTGCTGTACATTAGTTGGTTTGTTTCTTGCAGTGAATTGGTGCTTATACTTGCTATTGCAGTATTTGCATCTTTTAATGCTTGTGCTAGCTGTTTCTTTGAACAAGCTTCAATGCAGGCAGCCTTATTCTGTTGTTTTTGTGCTGTTCTAGATGCTCAGTTATTCTTTGTTTCAATTCTTTTATTTCTTTAGTTAGAGGGTTTTGTTCTTCCTGAGGAAGAGGTGCCTGGTTTCCAATGAGAACAGTTGTATATCTCTACTGGATTCTTCACTGCCAACTCCCCCTGGTTTGCCTCTACATTCTGAATTACTTCTTGTAAGGCTTTGATTTCTTTGCCCTGGGTAAACCTTTGCAGTTCGTCTATTCTGTTTCTGTAAATACTTTATTTCGTGTTATAATCGCGTTGATCTGCTAGTCTCTGTTCTGTTATTTCTGATTCTGGATGTTGTTCTTTCCAGAATTGGTGCATTCGTTTTAGATATCCTCGTCTTGTTGGACTTGATCTGTAGTAACAGATCATTATTTCTTTGTTTTCCATCACTGTGTATCTGCGACGGGTAACACCTTTTCTTCCAGTAGTTCTGCAGCTGCTGGCCCTGGTTGCTCAGCCAACAGTCCTGAGTCCTGTAACCCATTTTTCACCAGATATCCAGGAACTCCAATATCTAGTGCGGACCGTGTTAACCCGGGCGACGTCCGAGCCGGTATGGCATTCTGAAATTTACGTCTCACCATATTTTTTATGGGAGAGACACTCTTTGTCTGACTCCTCTGATGAGACCTGTCCAGTATGGTTGAACCTCTGGCATAGCTCTCATCTTCCTATTATTATTATTATTATTATTATTATTATTATTATTATTATTATTATTATTATTATTATTATCGATCATTGCACAGTCAGCCAGATGTTCAGACTGGATTTGGCATTTTGTCTACCTATCGAGTCCTTACCCAGGACCTGGGATAGGCAGATGTGGATGTTGGATGGTATTACAGATATCGTCGCAGGATGGAAGCAGTTCCTAATAAGGCCGCCTTTTGCAATTGACTAATAGCGAATTTGTCAATGCCAATGGTGTTCAAGTGGTGCTCCAGTTGTTTTGGGATTGCACCCAAGGAGCCTATGACTATTGGTACTACCCTTGCTTGCTTTTGCACAGTCTTTCTATTTGTAGGTCTTTGTATTTTGTTATCTTCTCCAGTTCTTTCTCTTCTATTCTGCTATCTCCAGGCTATTATTATTATTATTATTATTATTAAAATACATTTAAATTAACATACATATTTAAATATCAATATGGTAGACTTGAAAGGTTAGGCCTATTGTAAGCATCAAGTGTTGACCTACTGAAGAATAAAAAGACAAAAGGGGTATAATAAAATGCCTCAGACATAATGAAAAATCGGGGCTCCTGTATATTAGCACGTTAAGGTTTTTTTGTAAACATGAATGCGTATGACAAATAGAGAGGTTGCACGATCTCAAAGTTATCAATTATTGTTTTTAAAGTAGCAGATATCTTTCCGATTTTTCCCCTCCTCAATGGGGGAACATTTTTTCTTTGAAAGTTGTAACTTTTTTTTCTAGTTTGCACAAACGGGTTTTTCAGGCTACTGAAAAATGCTCGTTTGAAATGTTGTGAAGAGAGTCGGTTGATAACAAAAGATTGTTCTTTGCTTAATTATTTCACTTATTCTTTCTTTAAATTCCTTAGGTGGAATGCAAGATTATAACTATCTTTGGGCTAACTGCTTTGAGGTCACCTTTGAAATTTCCTGCTGCAAATATCCACCAGCTGCTCAGCTTGAGCAAGAATGGCTGAATAACCGGGAATCTTTGCTCGTTTTTATTGAAAAAGTAAGATTTGACTTTTAACTCTCTTCTTGGCTATATTAGCAAACAATCCTTGTATATTTGAGTCTGTCTTTGTTCTGGAAAATGAAAAGACTTCATTCATCTCTGTCAAGGCTTTCTTCGCCTGTAGATTTTGAATATGCTTCTTGTTTGTCAGCTCCCCTCTGCCTTAATCCCCTTTGACTCATAAATTGGACCAAACATAGCATTTAATGTTGGTATGATTGTTTTATGACCCACATAAAGCTTAGCATTGTTCATACCAAATAAATAACAGAAAATGTAATTGTGGTACACCAAATTATTTAAACAGAGTATTTAAACAGAAAGACGTATCAGTGATCCGTGTTTGAATTTTTTTTTTGTTTCGTATCACAAAAAGACGTTGGTTTAGAGAAATACGCTAAACTGTAATAATAATTGTGTCTAATTTTAGCAGTTTTGTAACTCCAGTTAATTGTACCCTGTTTATTATGAATGGTTAAGCCGTAATCAGATCTGTGTTCATCAGATCTTTGTCTCAATTTCTTATCACTGATAACGCATTTAACAATTACCCAACGAAGCAGGGCATAAGTAAATTAATTTTTTTCCCCTCGCTCAAGTTCCTTTCCTTTCATTTGCCCAGAGTAAATGTCAGGGTTAAAAGTGTCCCAAGCAAACCCCACCCCGTAGTTCATCCGGTCAGTTCAACAGGCCAATCCCCAGGTGTTAAGTCCGTTGTGGGAAAGAGGAGATAACACCAGGCTGCCTCAGGGCTGCAGCAATGTTTTGTTGGCTCTTTGCACCTTCCCTTGCAAATGTGGAGATAACCCAGTTGCTGGAGGGCCATTCCTTTCTTCTCCCCCCCCCCCCTTTCTAGCTGACATCAAGGAAAGAGATAATTTACAGAGGAAGTATGCAGAAACAGCAAAGTGTTACAATGTAGCGATTAATAATAATAATACAAATTTTATTGTCACTTATTATAGAGGAAACCAAGGCAATAACCCGCAATGCTTTCTCCCCCCCCCCCTCCAGGAGCATGGCAGAACCCAGAATTGTAGAGAGAATAGAATTTGAGTTAAATAAAGGAAAGACCCCTTAGAACAGACATGTCAAACACAAGGCCCGGGGGCCAGATGCGGCCCGCAAAGCCATCCTGGAAACAGGGAACGGCCCCCGCTGCCTTGGCCCTGGCCCAGGCCGGCCGAGAGCCAATGTACAATTTTGTGGTGGCCATCTATGCTGAAACGCATTCAGTCTTAGCTCCACAAGGCCGTCTGGAAACAGCGAGGAACCAGCCCCTGCCACGTCGCCCCCGCCCCCTGGGTGCATGCTAGGGAGGTGTCACTCTTTGTGAGGAATGAAGAAATGGACCATGCCTTGGCGCTTACCCTGGTCCCACCCCCTTCTGCCAGAGACCCTCAGATCTGTCCCACTCCTGCCCAGACCCCCACAGGCACCCTTGACGCGAATGATGTAGAGCTGGCCATGCCCACCCAGTAGGCCACACCCACTCCATCCATGCCCACCCAGTAGGCCGCACCCACGCTGGCCACACACCCCCGCCCCCCCAAGGGAAACCGCAATGCTGATGTGGCCCTCAATGAAATTGAATTTGACACCCTGCCTTAGAATATGGGTTCTGACAGTAAAGTTGGTTCTTCACAAGCTTTATCCAGTATCCCTTATATTCTCTAAATTCCCTCAGATTTTTCACCATAGCTGTGTGTGCTCAGAAATATTCAAGTATCCTCAAAAAATACTTTATCTCAAGAGTCACACATAGCTCTTTCAAAATGACCTCCTGTTCTGATCTCTCTTTCATATCTAAAGTCAACACTGGCAATATTCACATGTCGTATTCCTTGTATTCAGCTACTGATTATTAGAGTCAAGTATATGCAAACTCTACCTTTCAAGGTATGAATAAAGAATGGCTGAGCAGAGACCCAACTACTGACTGTACAGACATGTTTTATTAAGCCATTTCATGTTTTTACAGTTTAGGTTATTGTGTCCTAGTCCCAGAAACTTCCATCACTTGGATGGCTGTAAATCACAGTCCGTATCCTTCTGGGGATGGGAGCTAATCTATGCAATCTGTGGTTCAGGGTGTGGTCCAGATCTTGACTAAAGGATTACCTCTGGTTAAGGAGTCATTTGTCCTTTCTGAATGTAGCACAGAGTGCTGGCAAAGTTGAGCTGCTCCTATATCGGCAGCAGTATTGATAATTTCCTTTTTTCAATCATTATAACTTCATAGTTATAATTTAATTTAATTTAATAACAGAGGGGCTAACGCAAAAATTAGCTTTCATCCAGCCTGCACTTGTCATTTTGCTGTTGTGCGTATGCTAAAATCCTCCCGAAAGTTGCAGCCTGGCAATCACCACAGAGGTTACTGAAATATCAGTTAAAACAGGAACAGATCATGGTTTGTCACTGTTATCACCATTACTCAGAGAATTAGTCACTCTGTCACACACTTGAGAGCAACACTCAGTTTCTAAACCTGTTGCCTGAAATCCTTTTGGCATGGAAATAGTTTTCCTTCATCTAAGTTCCCTGAGGAGAAGGTCTTTATCTTTAAACCAAATGGCTTAAGGCACGTATTGCAGCAGCAGATGAAACCTGCCTAAACTTGTTCCGATAATTCACTCTGCCAGGGTATTGGTCATGTATACAATCTCTTTCCCTTTTTCATCTCTTACTGAAACATTGAGACCTGTGCATAAAACGCACTAAAGTCTAAAAAGATGATACTTTATCCTGAAGCAATCTTTTGCTCCCTCTTCCACAGTTTTCACTCCTGTTGCCTACTCTGTTAGCTGAATATTTCCATAAATGCCTTTTCATTTAAATTTAAAGAGAGCCAGTTTGGTTTAGTGCACAGGTCGGCAACCTGTGGCTCCGGAGCTGCATGCAGCTCTTTGAGTCTCCCGCTGTGGCTCCCAGCCTCCTCTGCCATTTGCAGAGAGAGACAGAGAGAGGCAATTGCGATTCCCTGTTTCTCTCTCTCTCTCTCTCTCTCTCTCTGTGTGTGTGTTTGTGATTTTGTGTGTGTGTGTGTAAAAGAGAGTACACTCACAAGTGTTCTCCGAGGAGCTGAAAAGCTTTTCGGGCGGAGCTCCTCCCTTTGCTGCGTCTCTGCAAGAAGCAGGAAGGGCAGGAGAGAGCTAGCTAGCCCAGCTATGCTGGCTCAGGAATTCTGGGAGTTGAAGTCCATGAGTCATAAAAGAGCCAGGGTTGCCTACCCCTGAGCTTGTTGGAGAACAGCTTGAAGCCAGCTTGCCAGGTGAGCAGCAGATAGGAGAGGGGGGGGGGAGAGAAAGAGAGAGAGAGAGAGAGGAAAGAAAGAGAGAGAAAGAAAGAAAGAGAGTGGGGGAAGAGGACTGGCAGAGACATCTAAAATGAAGATAACACTGCATATATCCTTTTTTACCTGTCTGTGTATGTATACACACACACAGACACACACACAGACAGACACAAACATATAATAAAGGTAAAAAAAGGATATATGCAATGTTATCTTCATTTTAGATATCAAAAGGGTTTTGTGGCTCTCGGTGTTTTGTTTTCGGTGGGAAACGGGTCCAAGCGGCTCTTTGAGTGTTTTGGGTTGCCTACCCCTGGTTTAGTGGTTAAAGGTGCTGGCATAGAAACCAGGAGATTGGGAGTTCTAGTCCTGATATGGATAAAAGGCAACTGGGTGACTTTATGCCCTCTCTCTCAGCCCAATTCATCTCATAGGGTTGTTGTTGTTGTTGTTGTGGGGGGAAAAAAGGAGAAATATCAAACTTGTATACTACCCATCTTGCCAGAGGCGGCTTTTTATGCATGTTTGCCACTTTGAGTTACTTAGAAAGAAATAAAGGTGGGATAAAAACTTAATAAATAAATAAATGGCATAGTATTGTATATTTCCCATGAGGACTCTGTTGATGCTTGCAGGCCATGTCCTCATAAATCAATAGTTGGCTTACATAAAACGCAGCAATTGGCCATAAATTTATTGACACCTTCCTCAGTCTTCTAGCTGTGGAGGAAATTCTTTCACTTTACTCAGTGAGCTTTTTAATACATACTCTGTTTCAAGCTCTTTTATGAAATGGAAACAAGATACTGTATATCCAATACCAGCAAAATATAAAACGAGAACCCATCATTAGGTAGTTATGTCACATCAAAGGAGAAACGACAGGATGAAGAAAGACAACTGCTGAATATGAAATCCATAGAAAGTAGCATAATATTAAATAACACATATTTTAATGTAACATTCCCTTTTATGCTTGCCAGTTTTCCACATTAATTTCTATTGAAGTTCCTGTCCATAGCCACGGCAATAAAATAAGGATGCGCTTTGCGTACCTTCTTGAACATAATTTTATATTCTAAAGCCATATGAATTCACCAGCTGTTTTGAGTGAAGCAGTGCGCAAAAATGGCATGTTTTTCTGTAAAATTGGACCGAGTTGATTCATCTTTCGTTTTTACAAGCATGACTCAGAAACACACAGCTGTCCTCTTGTTTTTCTTGGCATATTGGTTTTGAAAGACCGCCTGTGTTCTCTTTCAGTAGCTACGGCAGAAACAGTCCCCTAGTTACAGCAAAAGAAATCAGCAGAGCTGATAAAATCTATAGCAGCTTCACCAGTTTCATTTCATCTAATGTTCGTTCCAAGAGATGTTCGTTCTTTCTGGTGATGTTACCTCGCTGCTCTAGATGTGTAAAAGTTGTGCTGTTCTTTGCCAATTTTTCCTTGTTCTATCCCAGCGGTGGCGAAACTATGGCACAGGTGCCAGAGGCGGCACTCAGAGCCCTCTCTGTGGGCACGCGCACCATCGCCCCAGTCCTAGGCCTTCAGCTGGGTTTTATAAAACCTTTTTGCTTTAGGCCTCCGCCGCCGTGGGCAAAAAAAAAAAAAAAGGTTCAATCAATCAGTCAATTTCAACTTCTTGCGGGGGGGAAAAAAAAGGTCTTGCAAAGTTGGAATTGATTGATTGAACTTTTTAGTCCCACCCAGCCTTCCGTTACCACTGTAGCCACGCCCACCCAATGGGCCACACCCACCCAATGGGCCACACCCACCCGGCACCCGACGATGCGTAAGTGGGTTTAGGGTTGCAGTTTGGGCACTCAGTCTCTAAAAGGTTTGCCATCACTGATCTATCCCTTTATTTCATTTTGATTTTTATGTACAAACTTAACAGCACCCTGTAACTTTCCGAGGATGAGAGAAAAAAAGAACATTGCACAGGTCGCTTAGCATGAAATTAATAAGTTACTGAATATGAGAGGAATAATGTAGCCTCATGATACTAAAAAAATTTTTTTACAAAGTGTTCTGGATCTAATTCTCATTTATTTAATACAGGTACACATTGGAATTAAAGGATTTGTGAGAGATTTGGTCACTGGGGCTGCCTTGGAAAATGCAACCATTGCGGTGGCCGGGATTGCTCACAACATTACAACTGGACAGTTCGGTGACTATTACAGATTGTTGGTGCCTGGAACCTATAATATCACAGCTTCTGTCACGGGGTAAAGTATATGGAGCAGGCATAGACATGTTGGTTATCCTTGGCATAGCTTCTTCTAGTAGGGAGCTGCTTTATAGCAATAGCACTTAGACTTATATACCGCTTCGCAGTCCTTTACAGACCTCTCTAAGTGGTTTACAGAGTCAGCCTATTTGCCCCCAACAATCTGGGTCCTCATTTTACCGACCTCAGAAGGATGGAAGGCTGAATCAACCTGGAGCCAGTCGGGATTGAACTTCCTAGCTGTGGGCAGAGTCAGCCTGCAATGCGGCACTCTAACCACTGCAGCATCACGGCTTCCTTCCCTCCCTCCCTCTTTTTTTAAAGTGCTTAGCTTTAAAAATGCTATATATACAGTGAGGAAACACAATACTGTTGTGTTTCATACTAATACTAATATATCATAAGCTCCCTTGTATCCTATTAATCTTCTTAAGTGTATCTAGTTCTATGAGGCAATCTTTTTACTGTATTTTTATTTAAAGTTTGTTTTGATAGGGACAATCTCTTTATGGTCACATGTGTGTGAAATGAAGCCTTTCTTGGTATCACTTAGTTCTGATGTCTTGAAGCCATCATTCTCCTGGTACATTACCCAGCCGTGCCTTTCCCACGAGGGAACAAGGATGGTTGGATGAAACCAGGTTTTGAGGATAGGATAGGCCTTGCCAATATGGGGAGGAGATATTTTATCTCTTCGTGCTTGGTCTGCTCTGTGCCTTTCCAAACTGGAAAGAGTAAATTAAAATTAATCTAGTGCTTAGAGATAACATTTCCATTGGGAGTTCGCAAAATGTTTTTAATTAAAATACATTTAAGTATGAAATGTCTCAAATAAAAAACTGCTTTGAATAATTTTGTGAGCATTTCACATATAGACAAACATCCAAAATGATTAAAGCAGCCTGTTTCAAGCTGGGCAAAAACTGTTTAATCCTCAACATTTTGTGTTTGCTGTGATTCAGCTTAAAGCCTTTCTCCCCCCCCACCACCACTCTCTTGTATTGGGAGCTCTTACCATTGCCCACTCGCAGAGAGGACTTGCTTTAAACTATTCTAGGTACCTAATGCAGGCCTTCCATATAGAAGTCAAGTGCTATCTGTGGGATGATGAGGCATATTTGCCTCCATCCTGTAATGTTGTCTGATCCTAAAGGTAAATAGTAATCTAGTCCTTGAAACAATTTAATAGAATAACAAGAGTTGGAAGGGACCTTGGAGGTCTTCTAGTCCAACTCCCTGCTCAAGCAGGAGACCCTAAACCAGGGGTAGGCAACCTTGGCTCTTTTATGACTTGTGGACTTCAACTCCCAGAATTCCACAAGTCATAAAAGAGCCAAGGTTGCCTACCCTTGCCCTAAACCATTCCAGACAAGTGACTATCCAGTCTCTTCTTAAAAACCTCCAGTGTTGGAGCATTCACAACTTCTGGAGGCAAGGAGTTCCCCTGGTTAATTGTTCTGTCAGGAAATTCCTCCTTAGTTCCAGGTTGCTTTTCTTCTTGATTAGTTTTCATCTGTTACTTCTTGTCCTGCCTTCAGGTGTTTTGGAGAACAGGTTGACCCCAATGTCTGCATGTAGGAATGGGATTAAAGTAAACTTGATTAGGGTCAGCCTAAAAGCAAATTGTTCCCCCTTTTCCCCCACCAGTTACCTGCCAGTCACCACAGAGAACATCGAGGTGAAGGAAGAAAATGCAACTGTGGTGGACTTTTCCTTGCATCCCGCCGTCACAGGGGTGACTTCCAGCCCTACCACCAAGGAAGTGCTGATAACTGCCAACAACTCTCTTGCCGACGCAGCAACTACCACTGCTGTCAACAGATCAAACACTGCTCGCCAGGTGATCCAGCCGGATGATTTTCGCCATCACCACTTCCCTGATATGGGTATCTTTCTGAGGAAATACGCCACTGAGTACCCCAACATTACCCGACTCTACTCGGTAGGCAAGTCTGTGGAACAAAGGGAGTTGTACGCGATGGAGATATCAGATAACCCAGGCATTCACGAAGCAGGTAATCTCCCATTACATATTTTTGTTGCATGTTCTAGATCAGGGGTCCCCAATCCCCGGTCCGTGGACCAATACTGGGCCCGGCATGCTAGCAACCCGGTCTGCAGAAAAAAAGCAAAGCCCCATCGACGGGATGCAGGCAGCATGCAAAACCACACATTCTCCAGTCTGTGGAAAAACCTTTCTCCATAGAACTGGTCCCTCATGCCCAAAAGGTTGGGGACCTCTGATTTAGATTCTAGTATTTTGAAAAAATGGGAAAACATTTCTCCCTAGTTTTATGGATTTTGAATAGGTTCTGTTAACTGAGTTACCGTTTTTCAAAGGTCGAAAGACTAATGTCCTGTAATCTCTCCTCATAAATGAGTTGGTCCAATTTTAATTATTTTTTTAAAATATATTTGCTTTGAAATAGCCAATTTTAATTGCAGTGATCAGGGCCAACTACATGCAATAATTATTGTAGTGATACTGTTGTAGAGTATTATGATTTTGACGGTTTTAATTCTGCTCCTGTAATTAGCAGGTGGAGAGGAATTTTTCACAGTTCTTCATTGCATATTTTTGTTTTTACTACATTACGTTTTTAATATGTTTTTCTACCGAGTTAATTTTGTAAGTGGGATAGGAGAGTAACAACATTTGAAATGTTTCTTTTGCAAGCCTGAGGAAGAACTTCCTGAAGTAACAAAATGTCTAAATGCTGATGGACTTCTAAGTTTAAAATAATCATTTTTTAAGGCAAGGTTAATTGAATTTTAGTTGTATCTTTAGTTTAAATGTTGAAGTTTCTTCAATAATTTCAAATGTTGTTTTTACTAAAGAGTCTTGTTTAGGCCAAATGAGTTTTATTTCCTAAGGTTTGTGTCCATTATAAGTTCTGTTAACATTCTAGACCACGGGTCGGCAACCTGCGGCTCCAGAGCCACATGTGGCTCTTTGAGCCTTCTCCTGTGGCTCCCAGCCTCCTCTGCCATTTGCAGAGACAGAGAGAGGCACTTGTGCTTCCCTTCTCTCTCTCTCTCTCTCTCTCTCTCTCTCTCTCTCTCTCTCTCTCTCTCTCTCTCTCTCTGTGTGTGTGTGTGTGTGTGTAAAAAAGAGTGGCCTCATGCTGTTCCAACAAACTTATTGGGCAGGTCTCCTCCGTTTGCTGCGTCTCTGTAGGAAGCAGGAAGGGCAGGAGAGAGCCAGCCCAATAATGTATGTCAGCTTGTTGGAGAACAGCCTGAAGCCAGCTTGCCAGATGAGCAGAAGATCGGAGAGAGAGAGAGACAGCAGAAAGAGAGAGAGAGAGAGAGAGAGGGAGAGAGAGAGGAAAGAGTGGGAGAGGAAAGAGAGAAACAGAGAGGGAGAGGAAAGGGAAAGAGAGGGGAAAGAGAAAGAAAGAGAGAGGGAGGGAGAGGAAAGAGAGAAAGAGAGAGAGAGAACTCAGCACAGCAGCTTCAATTTCTTTTTAATTAAACTCTTCAAGGTCCCCACCCCTTGTGTGCGCACAAGTTTTGCGGCTCCCAGTGTTTTCTTTTCTCTGGGAAACAGGTCCCAGTGGCTCTTTGAGGGTTTAAGGTTGCAGACCCCTGTTCTAGACCATTTGTTAAAATAAAGCAAAAAGCAGTTTTATTACTTTTGTTAACTGCAAAATATTACAATTCCAAAGCTTTAGATATGTATGTATTTATAAGGTACTTATTTATAAATCGGAATGTTGTCTAATTGTCTTGAATAGCTTGTGGCATGAGCAGAGCTTGGATTCATTGGTGGATGGCAGATGGTGTTTTTCAGTTCATGTTTAGAAACTAAACAGGGAGCGAGAGAACTGAAATCTCCCTCCCTCCTTGTATGTTCATGTTGGCATGTGTGCTTTGATCTACCTCAGCTTCTACACGTGATCATATATAGACAGGCTGCTAAATGCATCGGCTAAACTGCGCGTCTCTGTTCCCCATCCAGGTGAACCGGAATTCAAGTATATTGCCAACATGCATGGCAACGAAGTCGTGGGACGGGAACTGCTCCTCAATCTCATAGAGTACCTCTGCAAGAACTACGGAACGGATCCCGAAGTGACTGACTTGATCCAAAATGTTCGGATACATATCATGCCATCCATGAACCCCGATGGCTACGAAAAATCTGTAGAAGGTAGCCTTGCGTGCCAACTTTTTTCTGACACGTCTAGTAAAAGGCGTTGGGCAAGGAAGGGTGGCGGTTTCATAAGGCAAACTGCTCCAGCTTTTTCTCATGTGCGACTCAACTTTAGCCGTAATGTACGTAAAGAGGCCTCTCTCTTTTCTGTGTTTTAGCCCAGAATTTCTTCTTTTCCTTGACTCATCTCTGTTCCTGTTTCCTAACTTTTCTCCATTGTACTTCATTTACCTCATATTACAGAAGTAAGGACTTTATCGAGCTTAGCTTGACACTGTGTGGTCATTTTCATGTATTTTTTTGCCGGCAACAGTGCCGTTGATCTTTTCTGAGACTTTCTCTTTTACTTCCTGGCTCCTTGTGTTCGGACTCTGATCCTGGTGATACCAGGCCTCACGGTCGTCTTACACGTCAAAACCCGCACTTTAAATTGCATCTGAAGGTGACTTCCGGTGGATCTGCGTTGGGCGATGGCGGCTACTTTGTAGCCGTCCTCCTGGGTAAGTGTAATGAACCGCTATGAACAGCAGACATCAGCTGTTCAGCGGTTCAAAATCCCCCTCCCGGGCAAAGGGGGGGGCAGAGGGTAGTCTGAATAGTGGTAGAGCCTCTTATGTACCCCCAATTTTCTTTTTTTGGGGGTGATAGAGTGCTCCCACGGAGTTCAGACTGTCTCCGCTTCCCAGCTGCTTTTGTCCTTGGGACAAAACAAGCCCTCGCAACCACCTCCGCGTTTAAAGTGATCTAGTGAGTTTTTTTTTAAGAAGCGGACAGAGTTGTTTAGAGGATTTATTTTTTTGCTTTCCTTGACTTTATATGTATTTTAAATTTAAAGGTTTATTCTTTTGTTATAGTCTTTCTTTTTATTTTTTGCTTTTTGCTGAAAGGGAAAGTAAAATGGCGATCGGCAGACTTTCTAGCGTTTTTTTTTTCGGGAAGCTAGAATGGCGATCGGCTTTTTTACCTTCTTTTTTTTTTTTTTTTTCTTTTTCTTTCTTTTTTTTAAGGACTGGATGGATTTTAGAGTATTATTAATTTTTGTTGTTTAATTTTCTAAACATTATTGTTTTGGTCTGATTTTTTGTTTTGCTTTTTGTATTTTTAAAAGGCAGGCATTTTGGTTCCCCCCCCCCTTTTTTTTTTCACTTTAACGATTGGAGTGTATATTCTAATTTCTTTTATTGATCTATTTTTCGCCTTCTTTGATTTTATTTTAAATCCAAAGGTTTGTTGTTCTGTTTATAGTCTTTTTTTTCCACTATTTGCTTTTTTGTTGAAAGAGAAAGCAAATGGCGATCGGGAGACCTTCTAGCGTTTTTTTTTTTTTTTTTTGGGAAGCTAGAGTGGCGATCGGCTTTTTTTACTTTCTCCTTTTTTTTTCTTTTTAATGAATTGGATGGATTTTAGAAGTATTATTATTGTTTTGGTTTGATTTGTTGCTTTGTCTCTTGTATTTTTAAAGGGCAGGCATTCTGGTTTTGGTCTGATTTTTTGTTTTGCTTTTTGTATTTTTAAAAGGCAGGCATTTTGGTTTCCCCCCCCCTTTTTTTTCTCACTTTAACGATTGGAGTGTATATTCTAACTTCTTGTTTTGGTTTGATTTGTGGTTTTGTCTCTTGTATTTTTAAAGGGCAGGCATTCTGGTTTTTTCCCTTCCCTCTCCCTTTTTTTTTCATTTTAATGATTGGAGTGTATATCTTAATTTCTTTTCTTTTATTTTTTTTCTTCTTTTCTAACTCCCTTTTTTTTATTTTTTTATTTTTCTCATTATTTAAAGATTTTCCTTTGAGGGAGTTATGATTTTCTTTTGAAGGAATTTTTGTAATTTTTAAGAAGGAGTAAAGTTTTTTTTTTTTTTAAGATGGCTCCAAAGCGTCCAGTGAATCTCACAGTTCCTAAATCTTCTCTGGCCCAGCCAACAACTATGAAGGATATGCAAGAAATGATGGGAAATTTTACAATTCAAATTAGGGCAGAAATGAAAAAGATTTTGGAAGAAAATAATAAGATTTTGAGGCAAGACATAGTCTTGGCTTTAAAAGGAGTTGCTTCTGTTCTTGAAAAGTTGAATTCCCATGTGGAAGAAGTAGCTGAAAAAGTGGAATTAATGGAGGGGAAAATTGAAAATATGGAAAAAGAAATGGAAAACGAGATTCTTATGCTTCAATATGGTCAAATGGAATATGCCTTAAGAATTAGAGGCTTGGGAGAGTCCTTGCAAGGAGATCTGAAAGAGATGGTTGCAAAGGACTTTGCTGTAATTTTGAATAAAGAAAAAGAAGGAATACTTAGTGAAATTGAAAAACTATTTAGAGTCAACTCTGCGGTGGCAGTACAAAAGAATTTGCCAAGAGATGTGGTAATTTACTTTGGGAAGAAATCTTTACGCAATGAAATTATACAAGCTTTTTATAAGAAGAGATTTCAAATTGCTTCACAAGATGTTATAATTTTAATGGAGATCCCATCTAAAATTTTAAGAAGAAGAAAGGAGTTTGCCTTTTTAGCAAATGAACTTAAAATGAGACGAATTTCGTTTAGATGGGATGTTCCGATTGGAATGGTGGTGAATTACCTGGGAATATGTTACAGACTTAATACTGTTTCTCAAGCAAAAGATTTTTATACTTCAGTATTGGGGGTATGTTCATCTCCATCTATTAAGTTCAAGACTTTGGAAGAAATGGATGTAGAATTACAGTTTGAAGACTCTAAAATTGGGGAACCCCTGTTTAAGAGATCTCAACATGTTCAGATTGAGGAGCAGGAGACAACTTGTGTAGCACAAAACTGTAAAGAAAAACAGCAACTGAAGAAGAGTAATGAAATTTCACACCTAGTGATTGCTGAATCTGTGGGAGAAGCAAGACCCATAAATCCTTTGGAGCAACCTTTAAGGATGGAAGGGTCATCTGAGATGAAAAAGGGGAAATTTCAGCCTGAGGGGCGTCAACAAGTTGAGAGGAAGGGGCAGAGGAAAATCTGTGCAACATATAATTGTAAAGAAAAAGACCAACAGAATAAGGAGCTTAAGGAATCCCCACATGTACTGGCTTCTGAGTCGTTGGGAGACTCAGAAAATTTGGAGCAGCTTTTGAGGACAGATCCTAAATCATTTGTTTTAAGCTTTATGACAAAAATGGACAATCGAGGCTGACAATAATAATATCAGTATGATAATGAATGGAGAATGAAAATGGACAATTGAGATTGATAAGGACTGGGTTTTTTGTGGTTGCAATTTGTTATTTATGAAGATTTGAATATCTATTGTGTTTATGGTGGATGGAATTTGCTATAGTGTTTTTTGTGGGTGGAACTTGTTATAAACTGTCTACTTTGGATGGAATCTGATAAGATTTAAATGAGTATAAAGGTGTTTTGTTTTTTTTTCCTTTTTTAAGTTTTAAGTAATGTATAAATTTGTGTTTTGGGGGAGTTTATGAAAATGATAATAATATTTATGATATTAGAAGGATTGGAGTATATTACAATGTGTTTAGTGTTTGGGTGGGGTTTTTAATGTTTAAAGTTTTAAGTAATGTTTAGATTTGTGTTTTTGATTGACTATAATTTGTTTGTTCTAATGTCTCAAGTTCTGATTGTTTAAATTTGTGTTTCGGAGGGACTATAACTTGTTTAACTAAATGAATTTAGATTTGCTTATGACTTATGCTAGACTTTATATTGTAGTTATAGATGTTTAAAGAAAGCAGTGCTTAAAATTGTGTCTTGGAAGAAACTTATGTAGAAGGATGGATAATATTATAAGTAATATTAGAAGATTTTTAGAGTATATTATAATGTGTTTATTATTATTTTCTAGAAATAATTCATTTAATTTAAGGTTCTTAGGATTGTTTAGGATTTATAGGTGTCTTAAGTTTTATATGTGTTTTAAGTTCTTTTTCTTTTTTTTCTTTTGAAACATTTTGGATAAGCCTGTAATCAACTCTGGTAGGTTCAGGGGAGGGTTAGGGAGGTTTGGGGAGTTGGGGGAGGGTATGGGTGGGTGGGCGGGTTTGGGGAGGGGATTTATTTTGTAAAATGTTAAAAATTCTCAATTAAAAAAAAAAAAAAAAATTGCATCTGAAGGTCTGTCAGGAGTCAGCGCAGGGCCACTAAGACCAATGTGATAGCCTGCCAGTGACGGATGACGATTAGCTTATGGGCTGCTGCATTCTGGATCAAATGCAATTTTCAAGTGCATTTCGTGCTGTGCCATGTAAAGCACACTGCAGTAGTTTAAGGAAGTGGTGATTATAGAGAGTCTGTGGGTACCAGGCATTTTACATTGAGCAATATACTATCCTGTTTTCATGGTTTAACTTAGCAAAGCACTAAAGAAAGGAAATGAAAGTTTACATCAGCCCAGCCCACCCAGGCGGGCATGGAAGGTATATTGTGGACCCCGTCAGCTAAAGAGTTCCAATTGACAGGGTCCAGAAAGAGGACCTTCTCTGCTGTTGCCCCCACCCTGTGGAACAGTCTCTTCCCAGAGGAGGGGCAGGCCCCCACTTTCCTGGCCTTCCAAAAAGGCATACATAAAAGCATGGCTTTATGGCCTTGCTTGGCTCAGAGGGAAGCATGGAGATGTGGGACTGATTAGCGTCCTGAGGGCCCTCCCTCTGCCTTTTAATTAACTTTTTGATGTTGAATGTTAATTACTTTTGCCTCTTTTAATTTTTATATACATTTTGTTTTATGTTTTCACACCTTAGAATAGAATAACCGAGTTGGAAGGGACCTTATAGATCATCTAGTCCAACCCCCTGCCCAAACAGGAGTCCCTACACCAGGGGTAGGCAACCTTGGCTCTTTTATGACTCGTAGACTTCAACTCCCAGAATTCCACAAGTCATAAAAGAGCCAAGGTTGCCTACCCTTGCCCTAAACCAATCCAGACAAGTAACTATCCACTTTTAAGAAGTGACTCTTCTTAAAAACCTCCAGTGTTGGAGCATTCACAACTTTTGGAGGCAGGGGTAGGTAACCTTGACTGGTGGACTTCAACTCCCAGAATTCCC